CTTAAACCGGACCCCAAGAGGGAGCCCCTCACTGTCCTTCACAGGCCGCCCTGCGCCCTGGGCCTCCTCCCAGCCTGGCTGATTCTGCTCTCCGGGCGAGGAGAGCGAGTCCGTGGGCACCAGCTACTGAGCCTGGGCCCAGCCCGTGTGTCCCCCGTCAGTGCCCAGGCAGCTTTCCACCCAGACCCAGCGCAGAGGAGTCCTTCCAGAGCGAGGGAGGGGCTTTCCTTCTCTGCATGATGTTGGACGCTTACTCACGAGAGAAACTAGGCTTCCTGTTTGGTTGGTTGATTTGGATTTTTGGTTTTTTTGACACAGGCTCTCGCTGTGTAGGCCAGGCTGGCCTCAAACTCACAGTGATCGTCCTGCCTCAGCCTCCCGAATGCCAAAATTATAGGCATGAGCCACGGTGCCCAGCAAGGCATTACGTTTTAAAAAACTGATTTCTTATGCATCTGCGTGCCTCTGTGTGTGTGTGTGTGTGTGTGTGTGTGTGTGTGTGTGTGTGTGTGTCTAGTTCTCATGTTTTGTTATCTTTGTTTTAAAAATCCTGAGAAGGACATTTTTTGTTGCAGAGAGCAAGTGGCTCTATGATCCTCAGCATGATTTTCACTCTCCTCCTCCTCTCTTCAGAAGCAGACTCAAAACCATGTCATCGAGATCTGGTTACAGGGGCAAAGTGCAACTTTAACTGGTGTTTGGCCTTGCATATGGAAACCGGTCTCAGGTTCTCAGTCAGGGGGCTGGAGGCTCCTGACCCCAAGGAGGAGCCGGGGCACCAAGGGCGCCTTCACACTCAGTCCGCCTCAGTCAGTCTCTCGCTCTCACAGGCGGGGGCTCCCTGACCGTGTTTGGCGTCTGCTCTCGGGAGAGGATGAACGCACTATCGTGCTCTTACCAAACTCCCGGCCGGACGTTGACACCGTGGACCGCGGTCTGCGCTGCCTCCTCTCCTCCCAGAGGCCCCTCCTGTGGCTGGATTGGATCTTCACTTTACCAAGCTCTTAGCTCATATTTCCTCTCCTCAGACAGGGCTTCCTGGCCACCAAATCTAAAAATGGCCACCACCCTCAAGCTTCCATAAATCCGCCTAGAACATAACCCACCATGTTGGAAGCAGACTCGTCCACAAGGGACACTACCCAGGGACCACACCAGATAACCTCTCTCAGCTGTGTAATTGGCCGGAAGTTGAATCTTCGTGGCAGAGAAAAGCCAATTCAACCCCTTACTATTTTCTTAAGAATAGCAACGTACAGACTCTCAAGCTTATAAGATCTTAAAAACTAGATATACAGCCATGAAGAAAGGGTAAATACCCACACCATTCTTCAGCAAAACAGCCCAGAATATACATCAAAGCCTTTACAATGCTTAAATTGTTCAACCTCAGGAGCCTAATTCTAGAATTTGTCCTACGGAAATAATCAAGAGTTCCAAATGAGATGCTCATCAGTACTACTTATAATAATGAAAAATGAAAAGATGCTATCCAGCCACTGAAGATTCTTTATAGAGAAACAACCCAAATGTCTTGCGATGCTGGTAGACAAACTAATGTAGCCTATCCATGCAATAGAATAGCATTCAGCCTTAAAAAGGAATGGTAGGGCCAGGGATTTGGCTCAGTGGTTTCACCCCCTGCTGCACAAGCGCAAGGACCCAAGTTCGATCCCCAGTACCAAAAAAAAAAAAAAAAGGAATGGTATTCTGACACATGCTACGGCATGAATCGACCTTAGATACTGTGATCACCAGTGAAGTGAAGCATGCCAGGCAGGAAAGGACAAATATATATGTCTGGCTCCATTTATGTAAAGAACTTGGAGTAGTCGAAACCATAGAGACGGAGAGTAGAAATGGTGATTCCCAGAGGCTGCCGCAGGTGGGGAGACAGAGAATGGGGTGTTAAGTGTTTAATGGGCATGGAATTTCAGTTTGGGGAAGATGAAAAATTCTGGAGCTGAACAGTGGTGGAGGTTGTGTAACAGTGCGAACATATTTAATGCCACGGAATTGCATGCTTAAAAATGGCTAAAATGGTAAATTTTGTTCTGTGTATTTAACTGTAATAAAAAATGGGAGCAATAAGAAATTCTCAGGATGGGAGAAACTGTGGACAATACTGTTTCTATTTTCTGTAAAAATCACTGTAAGCTTATGTACAGAAGAAAAGACGGGAGATTTTCCAAAACACAGTTAGCAGACATTATCTCTTGTGGGGTTCTGAGTAATATTCTCCTTCATACTTTCCTGTGTTTCCAAATGTTCTAAATAAACATGTAGCTTTTCTTTTTTTTCTTTTCTTTCTTTTTTTTTTTTTTTTTTTTTGGTACTGGGGATTGAACTCAGGTCCTTGCGCTTGCAAGGCAGGAGGTGGAACCACTGAGCTAAACCCCCGGCCCCTACATGTAGCATTTTTATAACTAGGAAATAAAACAAAATCTAAAAGCTCTCTTCCTGCAAGTCTGGCCCCACTCTGCATGGTTGTCACGGTAACAGTAGAGACAACTGCCTGCAAGTATGTGGCTCACCCATTTCCACACCGCAGTCTGCACACCCGGTAGGACGTAAGTGCCAGGAGAACAGACACTTTGCTCTCTTCATGCTGGATCCTTAGTTCTTAAACATTTCCAGGCACTTAATGGGCACTCTATAAATACTTGAGTGAAAAAGAATGAGTCAACGAATTAATGGATAAATAAGCAAATAAATAAGTCACCCTCAGTGTCTCCATCTGTCCCTGCTGCTATCATAAAACATGTTGGACTGGGTAATTTATAAATAATAGAAACTTTTTTACATAGTTCTGGAAGCTGGGAAGTACAAGATCAAGGTGGACTCAGCATCTGGCAAAGGCTCGCTCTGGATCACGGATGGAGTTTCTGCATATCCTCACGTGACAGAAAGGGCAACAGCCCCCTCATGCCTCTTCTATAAAGACACTGTCATGGTTTAGATCCTCCACAGTCTCATGAGTGCAGAGGTGGGGCTTGTGGAAGGTGACTGGAAAATAGGAGTGCTGTACCGGATTGATCCATGGATGAGTTCTTAGCTGAAAGTGTTGGTAGGAGGTGGAGCTGATTGGAGGAGAGGCTCACGGGGCTTTTCTCTTCTCTCTGCTTCCTGCCTGCCATGATTTGAGCAGCTTTCCTCCGTCCACACCCTTCCACATGCTGTTCTTGCCTTGGACTCAGTTGGCCATGGACTGAATCCTCCAAAACCAGGAGCCAAATCAATCACTCCTCCTTTAAGGTGTAGGTGTTGGCTATTTTGTCCCAGCAATGGGAAAGTGGCTAATACAGGCACTAATCTCATTCATGATGGCTCTGCCTTTATGACTTAATCCCCTCCTAAGGGTCTCAACTTTTATTTATTTATTTATTTACTTACTTACTTATTTTTGTACCGAGGATCGAACTAGGGACCTTGCACTTACAAGGCAGGTGCCAGAACCACTGAGCTAAATCCCTGGCCCCTGATCTCAACTCATAATACTACCACATGCATGATAAGTGTCTATATATGAATGGGGGTGCACATTCAGACCATAGCATTCAGGTTAAGACAGTGGGCATTCCTTTGTCCTCTGCCCCCATCCCAGACACCTGGGATGTCAACTCTTCCCTGTCCATAGGGTGCTCAGGATTATAGAAAGGGTTTTCTTAGAGTAAGGATGATCAAAAAGAAATAAAGCCTAAAATGTCTTCAAAATTTGGTTAACAGAGTGAGTAGACTAGAAACCATAAGGATAACTGAAAGTTCTAAGAATAGGAAAGAGAATCTAAAGAGGAGAAGAAATGTTGCACTGTCTCCAAATACTGGAAGTACAGCCAGGAAGAGCTATGCATTTACTCAATGAATATCCACCAAGCCTCCTTCGTATTCCAGGGACTGAGGTAGGAACCAAGAGAATCCAAAAAATAGGATGACAGTTCACATGTTTGACTCCAGAGGACTGGGGGGGGGGGTCGAAAGAGATCAGAATGCACCATAAGGTGGAGTCCAAATCAGTACTTCTTAAAATGCATACCCAGGGATGTGTGGGTTGTCCATTTAGGTATTATCAAAAAAATTCCTGGTCCACATCGGTTCAGAAATTTTTGAGATAAAGTTGAACTTGTTAAACTTCATGTCCTTAAACTTAATGCACTGCTGTACTCTATGAGCCTCCTCAAGAGCGGCAGGTGAGGTTCGTCTCACATGCTGTGTCACAGGCACTTTCCCGAGGCCTGGGACCCACGAGATAAGCATGCGGGCGCGGTACCCTCCCTGCCCTGTGAGTGCATTCATCTGCAGAGCCCCAGAGGGCCACTGAGGCAGGCCCAAGACAAGGGCACCACACACCACACCCTGCCTTCACTCGGAGTGCTTTGCCAGTGCAGCCCCTTCCCACCTCCTTCCCAGCCTCCACTTCCACACCTGTTCCATCCTTGCTTTGATGAAGCCCCCTAGCATTGCTGCCTTCTACCTGAGCCCTGCCTGGCAAGGATTCTGACTTCCCCCAAGCTACCAAGGGCACCCTGGTAAAGCCCCCCTTGGTTCAGCTCTTCATCCAGCTCCATATACAGGAAGCAGAGAGACCCAAACCAGCTCTCGGCTCAGGGACAGCATAAACAGGGACAGCTTGGGCTTTTGACGTTCAAATATCTTGCCCGGTCTTATCTCCCACTACCTCTCTGACAGGTCTGACTGAGATCCTGTAATGCCTGTTTCTAGGCATAATTTTAAATACTTGGGTACCTGGGAAACCAGCTATTTCTGTAGACTGAATCATCTTACTATATGGGGCACAGGTGCTTCGCCACATAGTTGGGAAATTTTCCCAGGATGAGATAAAGTCATGCATGCAAGGTTCCTGAGGTGCCCTGAGGCTGCCTTCCAGCAGAACGAATAAAACCCCATTGTGACCTTGCAGACTTGCATGAAATCCCTGCAGGAGAAACTACTGTGACGTGAAGCTTCAGTCCTTAAACTCTCTCCAATTTTTGTCCTCTTACCTTGTAACTTGGGTCCTCATTCCGAAATCCAGGGACCTCATCGATTGCAGCACTTCAATGCAGCCCATGTACTAGAATAAAAGAAAACAAAAGATCAAGTAGGATCAAAATGCCACCAAGCTTTTTCTGCACTACATGGGAACTTCCTGGGAAACAACTTAAATCAGCTCCTGCTATCAAGTTACACTTGACCATTGATATTCATTTATTTATTTATTTATTTATTTATTTATTTATTGGTACCAGGGATCTAACTTGGGACCTTGCACTTGCAAGGCAGGCGGCAGACCACTGAGCTAAATCCCCGGCCCATCCATTGATATTCCTGACCATTCATGGGCACATGCCTTCTGCCCCAGGTCAGCTATAAGACAGCAACTAAATCCAAACTATAATATTAGAAACACATGACACAGCCAAATGTGAACAGAGACGAAGGGAGGACCTGAGGTTCAGAGCCTGGTCTGGGGCCAGACTTTGAATTTGCATCCTGGCTCTGCCCTTTCTTTCCGGTGGAACCTCAGCCAATTATTCACCTTTTCTGCATCACAGTGTTGTCACTGGTAAAACAGAAATACAATGGGCGTCATTGTGAGAGCTACCTTATCTCATCCACACAAAGCTTTTAGAACTGCATGTATGCATGTATGTATGTACATACATGTGGGTATGTATGTAAAGGTGCCCAAGTGATAAGAGGAAGGAAAATAAATATGAGAGAAACAATACAGGATTGTTCAATCTTCTAAGACGCTGTAACGAGCACATAACATGAAATTTGGTAATGTAAGTTTTGACCATCTTGTGCAAGATCACTGGACTAGCAAGGCAGTTCAGTAAGGGAAGAAAGAGTCCTGTCCCTTGCCAGAAACTGCAAGTTTAGCTTGAACACGGAGCAGAATCGGAAGAGGAACTGTGCCTCACAAACTGAGAAGGCAGCTCCTGGGCATGAGGCAGCAGCGGCTGCTGTGAACCCTGACTCGCATGCACTTCAGGAGGCTGAAGCCAGCGGCAGCGCCCAAGAGGCAGGAAGTGGCGAGGGCAGAAGTTAGTATGCTCCGGTGGGGAGGAAGTAGGGACCGCCACACGGCGGAAAGGGGAATCCAAGGACACCAGGGAAACAGACACTACGGGGCTCCGCATGGGTCTGATCGGGGATGAGAGGGATGAGTCAGGCTGAGTCTCCCAGCCAGGGCAGGAGAGGGAGCAGAGCAGGAGAGTCAGGAAAGGGGAGACGGTGAATCGGCTTGGGAGCCGTGGATGGCCACGGCTGAAGGGTGGCCAGGAAGGAACAGGCTGGCAGCTGGAAGCTGCATCCCGGCTTCCGGAGATGAATGAAGTCTGAGGGTGCAGGCTGAGTCTTCGGTGAGGCTCTGCCAGGCCAGCGGTGGGAGGAAACGCTTTCCGCAGGGCCACACCAGGAGCCACAGCAAGCCAGCCAGGCTGGGGGACTGCCCAGGGCTCCTGGCAGATGACCTGCTTCCTGTTTCGCTTTCCTCAGCAAGCTCCCAGCCTCCCTCCGCTTGAAAATGGTCAAGCACCATGGACAGATGGCAGAGCGGCGGAGCTCGGGGATCTCCCCAGACACTTCTTGCAATATTTCTCAGCAGGTGCTGTAGACTTAGCTTTAAGTTCTGGGGTTATGAAAGGACGCACGCCAACTGTATGTCAGGACATCGAGAACCTGGCATCCTGGTGCTGGGGACAGCATGCCAGCTGGACTCTCAGCCAGCCCCCCATCACCTGTGCTTCCCAGTGCCGGGTACCACACGGAAACAAGTGACGTCTACAGATTTCTTTAGAGTAAACCATAAGGCTCACTTGGTGAAGGAAGCCAGATTTAGAGGGCGTGCTAGAAAGCTCATTTCAAGAACACCCAGAAAAAGAGCTGGCTCAGTGGCCTCACCGGCTACGCAGCTCCCCCTGCCCTTTGTTCCCCTCTACTGCGGCACAACCTCATCTGGGACTCGAACCAAGAAACCAGACCAAGTAAGGACGACTGTGTCAAAATACTGAAAATCCAGTAGTTACGGGAAACCCTGGCCCCCGGCCCCCAGGCTTCACTTGCCTGGAAGTATACAACCCTGGCCTGCCCAGCCCCGGCTGCAGTGCCGTTTCGACCCCACTCGAGGGGCTGGGGACACCATGATGCTTCCTCTAAGAACCTTGTACCATCAACAATCGGCCTCCCAGCTCTGGGCCGAGCGGGGAACACACTGGGCCATGACTCCTGTCCACCCCCAGCGACAGAGCCTCTCATGACCCCAGGCCCTTAAGAGACCAGCGCCTGCCCCAGGAAGCTCTTCTCCCCAGCCCGCTCCCGCCCCATGGAGTGGACCCTCCCTTCTTCCACGTACTCTTGCTGTTACTAATTCCTGCTCTTGCTGCTCTTTTTGAGTGTCCTGCTCAATCCTTTGTATAGGACAGCAAGAACCTGCAAACAAACCCCAAGTCTGCCCAGCCAATAACATGGTATCCTACACTCGGGGCTCTAGAAAGAATGGACTCCCCACTCAGGGTGGGGAGCAGGTGGGCCACACCCACACTTCCCCCCCGGACACCCTTTGGGTGCAGTGCGTGTCACTTGAGTTCACCAGCGCACTTGCATCTCTCACACTCTGACACAGTCAGTTTCCACCACTGCTTACTTGCCTAACATCTAGTATCGAAACAAACTCATTACTGTAAACCCTTGGGCCCTGGTGTTCTGGAGCCCACTCACCCCTCCTGCCTCGTCCTCACTCTCCTGCCTGCCCTGCACGGTCACCTGGCTTCCTCCTCTGCCTCAGATCCACGCAGCTGTTCCCAAAGGCAGGGCCTCAGCGCCTGCCGTCCTCTCTGCCTCTCTCTGCTCTCTGCCCTGCAGCTCTGATTCTTCTTTATCCTTCAGGTTCCAACGTAAATGACAGCACTCATAAGTCCCTTTTCCCTCCCTTTATCACACTCCCCGTTTGTCGCAATGTCACTAAAGTACCAGGTTGACTTGATAATTTGCTTGCTTGTTTCCTTGATGATGAGCACCCTAAGAGATAGGCCATGACCACCACTGTATTCCCAGCACCTGGCACCTGCTGGTATTCAATAAACACTGGCTAAAAGAATGGGGCCAGCATCTAGCATCCAACTTTACTAAGCCTTATAATGAGGAGCATAGGGAGAAGAGGCAGAGGGAACTGAAGCTTTGAGCAGGGTCTCTACCCTGGGGGACAAATAAAACAGGAGTACACGGTCTCAAGGGGAGACTCCGGCACCACAGGCCAGGATGTCCTGGCTGGGACACAACACCCAGCACCTGCAACTTAAAGGAGGAGAGTTTTACTGCACCTCACAGTTTCAGAGGATTCAGTCCCTGGTCAGGTGGCTCCAAGAGGAAAGAGCATGGTAGAAGGGTGCGATGGAGGAAAGCAGCTCATGTTATGGCAGCCAGGAACCAGAGAGAGAAGGGAAGAGCAGAGGACAAGAACACACCCTTCCAGGCCACGCCCCAGTGACCACCTCCATCCAGGCCCCTCTTCCTAACAGGACAGGAACTACTGAATTCATCCGTGGGTGATTCTACTGATGAGTATGGTGCCCCACGATCCAATCACCTTCCACACATGAGACTTTGGGACATTTGAGATCTAGACTGTAACACTTCCTCTGGCAGCTTTCTCAGCAGTTCACTCTGCGTGTGTTGTGTCTGGTGTTCCCCAGTTGAGAGACTGTTGACACACAACCTAGACAGAGGGGTGGGTGGTGAACTGGGAAGCAGGAAACAAGGCCCCACTTCCTGTTTCCCAGCAGCCTAGGGCTGGGGACAGAGCCAGCCCTGCACATCCTGAGCTGTGACAAGGGAGCCAGCAGGGACAGAGGCGCCCCAGGCTGGTGAGGTCCAAGACCCACATGGGGGACAATGTCAGCTCTCAGCCCAGGGAGATGACTCACCAGTGGGGGCTTCATTTGGTTTTCAATGACGATGGGGCTTTCAGAGCTTTGGGGGTGAGGGAGAGAGGGTCCCCTGAGGCTTCACAGCGCTAATTGCCACCTCCAGGCTGGGCCCTGGCATCCCCTTCCCTGCTGGTTAACCTGTCTTGTCACACTTGTCTGTCAGCAGCAGCAGGGTGACTCCTCCAGCCCCCTGGCTGTCGCCTAAGGCGAAGTCTGAGGTGGCTAAGATGATGGCGACAGACAGTTCCCCGGCCACGGTAACCGGAGCCATACTCACCCCGGAGCCGAGCCGGAAGGGAGCTGGCCTTCCCCTGAGCAGCTCACTCCCTCGGAAGCCACTACTGTGAGTAGTGGGAGGGAGCAGGCTTGGACCGATCCATAACGGGCACCCGCAGAGTGGCTGGATAGGAAGGCCCCAGGGAGGAGGGCTCCGTGCACTCAACGTAAACCACAGCCAGAACAGCCCACCCATTCATTAAATCCAGGCCGGCCCAAAACGGGTCTCTGTTCTTAAGGAAGCTGGCCCCGTAAAGATAGAATAACCAGGCAGAGAGGACCCATCTGTTTTCATAAGGCAATTCATCGCTCTTAACTCCATTTAATAGATGAGGAGATGAAAGCCCATTACAGGGATGGGCCTGGCTCCGCCTCCTTTATTCACTGAGTCTGAATTAGGGTTTACCCCAGCATCTGCAGCCCACTGCTGGGACCCTGTATGACACAATGAGGAGAGGGGGTGTCCGCCTCTTCATCCTTCCTGTGGGCTACACCCAAGCGAGTCACACCCTGAGGAGACCCGGGCCACCACGACGCCCACAGGAGAAGGAAATCCGAGCTACTCTGGGGACAGCTGGTTCCCCAGTTCCTGCCCTGTGGTGAGGACAGGACACTGGAGACCTTTATTTAGAGGAGGACAGTGCTGAGAGGGGGGCAAAACTCCCCATCCGGCGCCTGGCAGAGGTGACCCAACTCCCTGCCCCCACTCCGTGCTGCCCAGGGAGGGACTCATTCTGTCATCGGTGCTTCAATTCCTTGGTCCTGGGGAGAGGGGGCGGCCAGCCGCGCAGTGCCTGTGAAGACAAGGCTGGGGTTTTCAGGGAAAAGGCATGACAGCTGCCTTATGGGCGCTGCCACCCTGACC